TTATATTTTCGATATAATAATGATATTTTCGAATACCATATTTTTGTTTTATACAGTATTTTTCTACAGTTTTTACATGCCACTTTGTAATATAAATGTAGGTTTAAGTCAAAATGATTGTAAAAAAATAAGTAACAAGTACTATTGCCAACGAAATTCATTAATATGTATATAATTTATTTGGCTAATTGTTAAAGGTCGTACAATCTCAAAGGTGTTCAAAAGACAATTTTTATCAACGTCAAACTGTATTCATCACGGGACCGTGCCAAAGCATCGTTAATAATCAAAGTACATCATCGTTGAAGTATCGATGTATCATAGGATATAGGTTAGTAATTGTTTATATATTATTTATAAACATTTAATAGATCATTTACAATAATAATTTAATACATTTTATAAGAGATTAAATACACGCAGTAATAATAATAAACCTTATGTAATTCAATTATTATCTATCGATAAACCATAATATTATAACATATAATATCCACATTTCAACTCTGAATGGCTAATAGATAACTCTCAATAGTGTATATAGATTTTTTCATTTTAATTTTAATAGTAGGTACAACAACGCACGAAGGCCGATCATAAACGAAGTGTAATAATAATTGTGATTAATAGTTATACCTATACCATTATACCTACTATAATGATTAATAAATGTTGTTGCACGTCGTTGTTGTTAAACAACAATTTTAAATAGAGACCTACTAACGTGTATGATGCACTAAAGATAGTCGGAGTATTTATTCTGCGCGCACTTGCCAAAATACTAGGTTATAGGTATATAGGTATAGATTTGGTTTTGATACGATTTGCTATTTATTTATTTATTTTTGGTAATTTTTTTTTTTTTGTTTATATAGTTTTAATTTTTAGTTGAATATGCATTGCATTGTGTTGGTTGTTTTTACGTTACTTTTTGAATATGTMTTTTGCACCGGTCCACTGATAAACGTACACGAAGGCCAATTGAAAGGAAAACAGTTCTTATCGCGAAATGGACGGAATTTTTTTGCGTTTCAAGGAATACCGTATGCAAAACCACCAGTGGGACCGCTCCGATTTAAGGTATTTACAAAACATTTATGTTGCTTAGTGCGGCGCGATCGTACGCTCAACTGTGGAAATGCTCTGAGTGTGTGTATCAGAGAGTGTTGCTAGATCCTTGATGGATGACCACCTGGGTTTTTAGCAATAAATCCTTGTTACACATATCAAAATGTGTTCCAACCAACCGTCCTCCCCTCACATAGTACCGGGCTAATTACCTTAGTAAACGAACTCTTAATTCTAATAAAATACACAAAACACATTTATATAATAATCAACCTAAGTTATTGTTTTTATACGTTAACTTTAGGCTCCAGAACCAGTTCGTCCTTGGAAAGGCGTATTGAATGCTACATCGGAACCTTCGATGTGTATTCAAAAGAATCTGTTCATGTACCAAACATCTGATGTCCTCTTGGGCAGTGAAGATTGTCTATATTTAAACGTCTATACACCTAAGGTTTACATTTATATTTATGTCATAGATAAATTACTTATCATTATTATTAGTATCATAATATATAAATATGCCAAATAGCTACCCAAAATAGGTGTTAAAAATTTACCTGTCATGGTATGGATCCCWGGAGGAGGTTTTAGTTCAGGACATGGTGGTATGAGGCTCTATGGCCCTAAGTATCTAATGGATAAGGACATTGTTTTGGTTACAATAAATTACAGGATAGGACTTCTTGGTAAGAAAGTTTAATTATATATGCACTTTTTAAAAAATATCTAATTATTTATATGAGTATAAATTATACAGGTTTTTTGAGYACTGAAGATGACATTTCACCGGGAAATTATGGTTTGAAAGATCAAGTATTAGCACTCCGTTGGGTTCAAGATAATATCGCCAAATTTGGAGGCGAYAATAAAAAAGTTACATTGTTCGGTGAGAGTGCTGGAGCGGTGAGTGTGGGTTTGCATTTACTGTCACCATTAAGTAAAGGTATGCTTCAACGTTTTTATAAACTTCGACCAAACCACCAACCTCATACTATTAAATACACTAAATTGTAATCTCGTTTATTTGTAGGATTGTTTCATAAAGCAATTTTACAAAGTGGAAGTCCTTTTTGTCAATGGGCCGTCTTGCCACCCGGCTTAGCTGAGCGGCGCGCCAAAGCTGTTGCTACAATTACTGGATGTCCTTCCAATTCAAAAGATATGATTGAATGCTTAAGGCTCTTACCCGCCGATTCATTTGTACAATTAAATAGAAATTTTTATGTAAGTTGAACTTAATTGTAATAACTATTGTCACAGCTATAAATGCAACACAAAATTAGATATAATTATCGTAGTATTATACGAGTACATAATATGCGCATTTTAAAATAATTTAATTCAGGAATGGGAAGTTCATCCATCAGTCACTTTTTCAGCCGTTGTGGAAAAGTGTCACAAGAAAAAAGATTCATTTTTATGCAATTATCCTTTAAAATATTATAAACAAGAATCACTCGTACCGATAATAATTGGAATGACTTCTGGAGAAGGTGGTATTTTTGCATCTCGTAAGTATAATCTTAATTAATTAATTTTTGTTTTTTGGTAATTCAAATGTGCGAGATGAGTTTAATGTCAAAAATAGATTCAGCCGTTGGAGTAACCTACTGGATTTCTTCTATAATATCTATTCTAACAACCGAATAATAAATATAATTAAACATTATAGTCAATATCAATATTGTAAATTAAATTTTTATGCACTATATAATGATGTAACTTACAATTTAATTTCGTAGTATACAAACTTTTCTTAACATATAAAATMTTGAAGATATTATAAAACTAAAAATCACTATTTGGATTACAAAACAATATAGCCATATAGCAATATTAATTGATAAAAAACAAATAACTTATGTAATTCTAAGTCGAAAATTGTGAAGCGTTTTAATAAATTCTACAATGTSACAGTTTAACTTGTAGTTGTGTAAAAAAAATTGCCCATGTTCACAGTTTGAAAAAAAATCTTTTTTTGGTATATCTTATTATTATTATTTTACGATATAATTAGGGTTGTATGATGAAAATGGTCTTATCTATCCTGAGTTCAAAGAAAACTTCAGACGAATAGTACCTCTAATGCTGCTTTACCATTTTACCGCTTCATACAAAGATGTTGATTTTATTAGTGATCAATTGAAAGAACATTACTTTCCAGAAGGGACCTCAATTGAAGAAAATCCTAAAAAAACAGTTGATGTTAGTAATATTATCATAATTTTAACATTTTATTATTGGTTCTTACATGTTTATAATTTTTAGTAATTTATTAAAAAATGTATATAATATTATTATTTATTTTAGATGATTACTGGTGGTACATTCTTAAAAGGGGTTATTGACATGGCCAATAATGTAATGTCACCTGTACACTTTTATGTATACGATTATGCAAACAAGCATTCATTTAATACATTMTTCGGACCATGTCCAAAACATTTAGGTGTCACTCACGGTGATGAAATGATTAGCCTTTTCGACTTAGGCAAGCGGTTAAACACACAAGACGAAAATGTGTCTAAACTTATGGTGGACATTTGGACAAACTTCGCCAGCTCTGAGTACGGTTTATTTAAAATTTGAACTGTCGTAACCGCAGTTTTCAGTGATAATTAACAAATTATCTTAAMGAAAATAGTTTACGTTTAGTGGTTAATTTATTTTATAGTTCGAAATGTATTAATAAATGTAACGTACATACAACACAACAACAATACACTACAGGACATACATAATTAAAATCTCGATTATAAGTATTTAATATTGAGATTTAAATTCATAGGTATTTAATTTTTTTTTAACGATACGTCTTACATTTTTTTTTTTTTTTTAAGTAGGTACTTATAACGATGTATTTTTTGTCCCCTAGATTTGTAACCATATTTACGCCTTTGCTTTATAATCTATATTACAATATGTACTTACCCACTACTTGATATTTAATAAGTAGGTAGGTGTATATTAATTAATATACTCCTAATAAATAATATTTGTAATATTACTCAAAATATTATATTTCTTATTATATGACGAATAATAAGAACATTTGTTTTATTTTTATACGATATATGTGTTTGAACTGTTTTTAGAAAGTTGACAATTGACGGAAAAAGTACGGGCAATACTTGGCCAAGGTATAACAAAAAGGATATGAAATATTTATTGATAAAGTCATCCACGCCTGTTTTGTCCGAAAGACCGTTTATGGACGAGTATAACTTTTGGAGCGGATTACCACTGATGTCTAGTGTGAACTATAGTCGAGAAAATTATAGAACGGAACTTTAAATGTATATATTGTAAATATACATTAAGAATGTAAGCTTATATAATTATAACCATATTTATTCTAAATGCATGTTATAGTAAATAACTATTAAAGTTCTTATTAAGTATTTTTTTTTTAAGTTACTATCTTAGGAGAAAAATATATTATTATTTTTATACGTTTTTTGTAGACTAATGATATTGCCAAAACCAATTTTTAACTTGTTTCTATTTGTCTTTTRTACACAAATATAAAACGATGCCAACAATAATTGTTAATATAAAACTGTTTTAAGGTATTATATAACATTTAGGAGTGTATAAGTAAAATATTGCTTTATATTTCTGAGCTGGTATATATATATATATATACTTGAAAAGAAAAAACTTTTATTATAAAATGTCCTCAAGTACCTAGCATTCAATTTTATGAGTGTGTAATATATAACTAAGGAGATGGTTCAGTTTGGAAAGTTGTATGATATATGTCATTGATCACGTTTTAATAAGAGTTTTTCATTCAGAAACTGAGTTCCTCATTTCCTAATTTATAAGTTATAATAAACTTACTTATTGTATATCAAATATCAATATAGATATTACATTAAGTTTGTTTATTTTAATCTTGTCTGCTGCTATTTATTTATTATATCTTAAATAATATATTATTTTTATATGATTTAATTGAAAAAAAATAATTTAAATAAAAAACAGAAATAATAATATTAAAAAACGCTAATGAAGTAACAAATAACAATACATACAGTAATGAAAATAATAATAGTATCCAAACTTGACGGTTCAGAATTATAAATAATATCCAAATCTATGTTTAGAATTTTGTTTATGCCGTTTATCTATTAACAAATTGAAAAGTGTGTAAACATTATCTTTTTATAGGATTATGACAAATGTAAAATAATAAATATAAATAATTATAACCTAACCTAAGTCATATTTTACTAATTATATAAGTACTACATATTAAATCAATTACATTAGGTAACGAATTTTAGTGTATCATAAAATTGCAATAACAATATTTTAATACATTGATATTTACTCATAATATTGAAACACATATTTTTTWAATTTAAATTTGTTTTTATTATTTATATCTAAATACTTTATTTATACTTTATCGTATTCTGATATAGATATACAGTATACACTTTTAAATAATTTTTGATATATAACTAGAAATACAGTATTAATTAATTGATTATTACTTAGGGTTGTTATGCAATATTTTTGAACMYATCATATATATTATATATATTGAAATATTATTTGGCTGCTACCCCAGTGAAGAAGGTGAAACATTTTTGGATAAAAATGTTAGTGTTGTTTAATCCGTACGTGCTAAAAATAAATTAAATTTATTATTGTCTCCGCCTATATTATTTGAGTAAATAATGTTTATTATCTAATATTATAGCACAAATACAGCACAATATTATACTTCCATTTTTGAAAGATAAAAAAATTWCTTTGAATAACTTTATAGGTGATCACGTAACTATAGACCTATTTTTCTAACGATGAACCGGATTTTTTCAACCCGAAAATCAAAACTATAAACGTGTTTGTGCCAAAATGTTCAATTACCCGGTGAGATAAAATGCAGTATGTCTGTTATGTTTTTGCCAAAATCCCTTTCATTTAGCTACAAATAACTGAAGAATGCTCGCCATTTAAATACCCTGGCTGCAGCTTGTAGTAAAATTATAAACTTTCAAATAAAAYGTTCAGTATTAGACTCGCGTCATGATACAAAACGCGAATCACAAGTGCGTTAACGATGATTTATAGTTGTTGAATCATTCAAATCGGTCCGAAGTGATTTTATGAATAAAAACCACTCGAACTAAGAAATCTTGTTTTTTTTWWTTTKGSYYC